TTCAAATTGATAATGCAATCTTTTATATGTCGTACCGTATGTTTTTGTAGCACAGAGTAGAGAAATATAGCTTTGCCATTTTATACCTTTTTCATACGACTTTAAAGAGTAAAACTTCTTTTAAGTCATTAAAATACGTAAAACTTTAACTTGTGATTAGAAGGAACATATCAATATAACGTGTCTCGCTCAAAGCTATACTTTAAGCAGCACCGTGTCCCGCCGACTTTTTGTGATGTACTTAAATTGGTAACTGTTTTTACATCTATTATTATTAAAAAAAAGTTGCGACTTCTGTACATGCTGCCATTCTCTGCGCTACGCTGATATAATACGTATTTTGGTACTAGATATTAAAATGCCCTAAAACAACTAAAGGGAGTAGTGAAACAAACGACAATGCATTTTGTTTTAATTTTATGTTGAAATCCTGTTCAAATACAAATAATTGGAAACAGTGTTTCACTGTTTACAAAAACAATAGAAATATTGTACATTAAATAAGTAGAATTTGTTCTTTGTTTATAAAATCCCTTAAAACTTAAAATCACATTCAGTAAGTCTTACACAAAATCCGTCCAAAAGTCACATGAAAACATATGTAGCATGAAAAACGCATCACTTGCGTAATGTATTATATTGATTTTTGTCAATACTTTGCGTGCGACGATTTGGATAACATGAAAAATATTATTGCTAAGAGAATCCAGTCGGTATTTCATTTAGCAAAGATGGGTAGCCTTCACTTGTGCTGTTTTATTGCCATTTACAACCGATCCTTTAATAAAACATGAACGCACAAGTTAATTTAATTAATAAGACGGGTTGAAGGATTTTTTGAGTAAATTGAGCTGTGAAAGTACATAAATACTGTGATTTAATATTGTTCACTTAGTCTGTTGTATGAAAAACTTAATTGCATCTTTTAAACGCAAAACGACTCAAAGTTGTATAAAAAATAATGCGAGCTTCCGCTAACCGTATCGTGCCTTAGATTTAACTCAATTTGGACTCAAATCGGCTGCTATATTATGGATTTACATATGTATATACATTATTGTAAATAGAATAGTATATTGTTATGGCTCGTGCCTGTGCCAAGGTTGAGATGTCGTGAGGGCATCATGTCACCAGCGTGCCACCCACACCCCCGCATGTAGCGTTCTGTCTACCAAAGAGTCC